TTTGTCTGTATCTGCCTGCATGTTTCTGTCTGTATGTACGTGTCGGGATGTATCTTTGCTTATCTAACTGTGTGTACTCGTCTGTGTGTATGTCTCTTCTCTTCTTCCTCCCTCTTACGGTACCGATAATAATAATAATAATAATAATAATAATAATAATAATAATAATAATAATAATAATAATAATAATAATAAAATAATAATAATAATAATAATAATAATAATAACAATAGTCCCGTAACGAATGTATACAAACCAACTTTCTGGTCCGGCGTGGTCATGTCGGGGCGACTATATTCTGGGGCGATGGTGCCTCCCCTGTCCTACTGTTACTTCATAATGCAAGGAATATGAGCATCATACATATGAAATCAGACAGTCGTGACCTCGAACCAACAGCAGAATTGCATCACACGTTCCACCAAATAAAAGCACAACAAAAGTTCATAATCGACAACGTTGGAGTAGTCTCATCATCATCAACAAAGGACTAATGTCGAAGTCTTATTTTAGCTCTCATCGTCCAAACTTCGAATCGCACATCCTATCTAGCCTATCTACAATGCCGCAGGTGACATCAATAGACCTCCGACTTACGAGTAGATATTGGCCAAATGTCGTTTGCTTCCAGCACCAGCTATATACAACCTTGATCCTCCACACTGATGCCTCGTACACCTAAAAACCACCATGCGCCCTGGTAAAATTAAATTGCATTAATAATAATAATAATAATAATAATAGGCTACCAGAGTGGCCCGAGGTCACTTCCTCGACCGGGTCAAAAAAAATAAAAAAAATAAAAATGCAAGGAAGATGAGCATTAGCGAACTTCAGCAATCAAACAACATCATACATATGAGCCCAGATAGTCTTGACCTTGAACCACAGCAGACTTGCATCACGAGATACACCAAATAAGAACACACCAAGAGTTCAAAATTGACAATGCTGAAGTAGTCCCATCATCATCAACTACGAACCAGAGTTGATATCCTATTGGCGCTCGGCGCCCAGACTACAGGTAGCAGATCCTATCTAGCCTATACTACGAAGCAGAATGATGACATCAACAACGTTCCCGAAGTACGAGCATATGGCGACCAATGTCGCACGCTTCAGCA